CAGCTGTACATTCATTACATTACACACGTAATGAAAATTCCATACTACATGTGATAACAGCTGAACCATCTCCATGACAACTGCCCACTGATGAAGACTGTGCGATGAGGTTGAAGGCTTCAAAGAAAACTACTAAGTGGATGTTCTTCTTTCTTAAACTCCTGTTTTTCCAAGGTCAAGAATGAACTTTCATGCTCAGGACTGGTTTTGGATCATTCTGTGGAGATATTGTTTTCATGAAAATTATGTCAATAAAGTTGTTCAACTTATCGAAATGAGAAACTTGAGACTTAAAGTGTGTCACAGAAAAAGCCTAGGTCACACTGGATCATTTTAGCACCAATTCTAGGCTTAAATGAGGGAGGTACTTCCAACCACCATCCTCAAAACCAAACAATGCGTGTTCAAAAGCCAACAGAGTTTGGATATAATCAAAACAGAAAGTTTGAGAGTGGGATGATGGTAATGATGAAAAGTTGGGGAAATACTGTTGGTACATGAAGGACAAAGTGAGTGAGCAGGAGCGAGAGAAGCTCCCAGCAGGAGGCTATAACAGAACTTTAACCTGATCAGGAATCCAAGACAGGCTGCTGCAGCACTCTACACGCTGCCTCTCAGAAACATAATGCACTTCAGACTACTTTTTAAAGCAACTCAAATGCCACTGTTAATGGCTGTTAGCATTACAATGCTGTACATTCATCCTCATGTACAGTGAGCTGACAGTAATAGTGAAGTGTCTGTGCTGACATGGAAGAGACCAGAGCCAACAACAGAAATGCTTAGTTTAGAGTACTTAATCTGCTGTTAAGGCAAACACATCCTCAGTGCAGAGACCCCTGAAGATGTTAGCAGCAGATTCTTTAAGCCCTGTAAGTTGCAAGGAGGGGATTCCATATGCCGGAATTAGTTGTACAGCACATCCCACAGATGCTGGATTGGAATGAGACTGCCAGCATAAAGTCAGGTGTCAGGTTTCCGGCTTGCCTTTCCCCGATATTAGATGTGAATTTAGCTTCTTAAGAGTCCTTTTCAGTCTTAACCTCAGCTAATCATCATCGTAAAAATCAGAGAAACCATAAAATAGCATTAAAGAATTGCAGAAGAGAGCATCAGTAGTTTTTAACAATATCCTCTGTGCATATTTAGTTTTCAGTTTAGTTTTGTGTGTAAAATCACTGCAGTGAACAAGACTGTGCAAGACACCGCAGTGGCGCTCAAACAGAACTGTATTCTCACCTCGACTCACCCGGTACATCTTCACCACCTGCACATATGGATTGTGTAAATGATTAACGTCTGGAAATAAAGCCAGGGACAGCTCTCGCACAATCGCCAGTCCTAATCATGATGCAGCCAAACATAACAAAACCAACATAAAAAAATGTGTCCACCTGTCAAACCTCCATCTTCCAATGATCTCCCAGGGTGGGGGAGACCACTGACAGAAGCGATCGTTTTTTGGGAGGTGTGAAGTACTCTGTATGATTGCTGATTGTATTAATACTGCGTGCGTAATGCTGCATGGCTGCGCTATGGCACTGCAGAGGACAGCATGAATGGAAGGATTACAGAGTGTCCATGAGGGACCATGATGATGACTGGCTATGATTTCGATTTCGATTCTTTAGAGTCGTGCTCTTGGATCTGTGCGCTAAACTGGGTCCAGCATTAGACAGATTAGCCTGACGGAACCATGCCATCCCGAGTAGGCTATAATCACTGTTACCAGCGGGAGCAGACAGGTGTGTGTCTGATGGGATCAACAATAGGTCTATAGTGTTTACCTTTCTACCTAAATTCTTTGTTTAGAATAATGTAATTCTATTAAACTCTCTGAATTTTATTTTGTTTATGAACAAGCTGGATCAAACAATGAGTGCTTTATAACTTCCACCTCCCAAGCACCACAGAAAAAACTCTTTCCAGCCATTAGGAGTCTCCATTGTGACACTCTGCCACTCCGTCGTTTTGCCTTTGCTGCTGATCCAAGAGCTCAAATCATCAAATGAAATATTTCTTCTCGCCTCCACTTCAGTGATAAGCACCACGATCTCACACTCAGTGTAGTTTCTCTTTTTCGCATGTTTTGCAGCAGGATCGGCCGTTGTTAGTTGGACTTGATCATTTGCATAGTAATTTATGGGAGGAGCCAGGGCGGGATATGAAGCTTGTGCGTGTGCGCCCAATTTCACGTTGATTGGGATGTATAAAGGAAAGGTTTGCACCCAAAAGCCAAAAATGGTGTACGGCAAAAAATATTCAGACTTATAAAACCGTGCGTACACACACTTTTAAGCAAGTTCCCTTTTTAAATCACAATCAACTTGAAATGTGGCGCACGTGATGTGTGACCCTTCAAACGCCCATAGTTGCCTATAAATGGTCAGTGAAACGCCCCTCATTAATATTAATACAGAAGAAAGAAAAGGAGGCAAATTCTGACAGAGAAGCTAAAAAAATTAAATTTAACTCAAGCAACGTTTGTGTACCGGAAGAAAGGGGGCACAGGAGCTCCACCCCTTTATAACCGATCTGCAGGAACCGACATCCCTCCTGAATAATAATAATAATAATAATAATAATCCTTATTTGTAGAGCACTTTTCAAAAACAAGTTACAAAGTGCTTAAATAGTGACGTCATTTGCTGGAGGGGGACACACACGCAAGACTGGATGACCCAGGTAGGTTTGGAGTCCCCAGTTTGAAAAGAGAGTGAACCAAACGCATTCCGCTTGTGTTTGAACATTTATTTAGGCTACACAAACAGCCCACTCACTTAACGAGGCTGCCGATGAGTTAAAATAAATATGACTTGTTGTAAATGACAAAATAGTGTTATATTTCCATTATATGTATGTATGTTTTACAAGCAGCACATCACATCCACACGCTGGTGCACAGCGTTTGGCTCGAAAAGGCAACGAACATAGGCAATATGAAATTATGCTCTCGTATTTGCTCGACTGACCCATTGAAAACGGCATCAATTTAAATGTAATTTGACCTCCTGTTCACCTTATTTATGAGAATAAATTGCACTGCATGCAAGTATTAATTAATATGATTCCGGATTAAACTGTCCAACATAATTGAGGCGTTTGTTTGCAGAAACAGATCTCTGTTTGTGTTTATTATCCTAAATCTGGATCTTTTTGTGCCCTGCAAATGATCTTAAATTGTGTGGTTTTTTTGCACACTAAAGGGAAAATCAAACGGGTGTTTGTTTATTCAGAAAGGCCTTAAGCCTATAATACTCAAAGCTAATATTTCGATTTATTTTACACAATAGTAGGCCTATTCATTTCAAACCGTTTCATCCTTCTGCCATGTGTGTCACCATTTGTGCGTACGCATGGTTCAGAGTTTACTTACAGCACCGCACATTCTGACATTGGCCCGTGTCTAAGTCGCTCATATCCTTACTCTTGCCATTTTTCCTGCTTCTAACTCTTCACTTTGAGGACACAATGTTCACTTCCTGCCTGATATATCCCCCCACTGACAGGTGCCATGGAAACGAGATAATCATTGTTATTCACTTCACCTGTCAGTAGACATGATGTCATGGATGATCAGTGTATTTCAACAGCACAAATCCCATCCGTACAACAGAGTCATGTTGTACGGATGGGCCACTCACCCACACCCGGGTTTCTCTTTTTTAACACAAATACTTCTACATTCAGTAATTTATACACAAATCAGTTCTACTTTTTTGTTCAGTGTCAAGCTACCCACACTAAAATCAACACAGATATTTCACATTCAGTTCTAGCAGCTGGGGCAGGGCATAAACTGTTACTTGTTAGGCTTTTAATGAGAAACTTCTGCAAGAAGTGTTTTGCTAATAGAAATACATAGCGGGTGAGAGTGAGAGCAGCTGAGTGCTGAGTATGACATGACTGTTGTACTGATGGAGTTGGTCCAGTGAAAATGAACACTAGGGAGTCATTTCCCATGTTAGCCATCATAGCACCTTTATTTATTAGTGCTGCCAACTAATATTTGATACTGTATATACTGACTTGTATTTTAGAATTTACTGTAATTTCCCTCCCAGCATTCCGTCCCAGTATATGGCTTCTTTGAATAAATTAACATTTTATCATCCCACACATGTTGATGGCTTATATGAGCTTGATAAAGTTAATGAGCAGATAAAATCAGAGCTGTGCTGACTGAATCATGGCTCTGTATCAACTCTCTTAACCATCTTTATAAGGTAATTTGAGGAAAGCTAAAGCGTGAGAGTAACACTTATTAAGTGTGTCTTAGTGGAGTGTTGTAATGCTTTAAACATAATGGGGCTAGACAGTTCAGCCAGACCGGACAGCAAAGGGAGTGCGTGGCAGAGGTGCCGCATCGGTGTCACCTGCTAATTAAGATTGATCCAAACCCCTGCTGGCTGTGCTGCACTATCGGACAGCACTACCCATAAATCTTTGCAGTGACTCACCACCGCCTCTCTCCCCTACCTATACTTACAAGACTTTGTGCCCTATAGCCTGCACACCTTATGCTGGTCCTGCAGGCCTAGATTTAAACTTTAATTTACAGCGCACACACACACACCCCCCCCCACACCAACACACTGTATTAATGTGTTTATTATTAACAGGGAGAGCTACTCCTCCAAGCTCATCACACATGTAACATGCAGCTTCTATCCAGATAACAACCACATATTGATTCAACAAGAACAATCCTACATGGTGAGTCATGCAGTGACTGATGAATCAGCCAGGAGAATGTGTGTGGAGAGGAGAGATCGCAAAAGATGGACAGACCTGCTTCAGGACCAACAGCTGCTATGACAGACCTTTACTCTGACTCCGTACTGCTGTCACTGGGCAGATATGGTGAAGTTCATTCAAAACTACAGGGCTCCCCGTAATTTGCCACACACTGATTATCAGCACAAAACGACCATCATCAGTTTCAAGATAAAACTACTAGTTACTGCCTTTACAGAGTAAGGAAATAGGAGCTGTGTTACCTTTGAACTTGTGGAAGACAGCCCAGAGTTCAGCAATGTCAGTGGCAAACGTGATGTCTGTGTCCAGGACGATGACTCTCTGCAGGTCGGACAGCAGCGTCTTAGTGAGCACCAGCTTCATCAGGCCGTAGATTCCAGAGTAATGCTTGTTGGGGATCCATGACACCTCAGACTGAAACATCACACCAAAGCAGGGTTAGGATCATTTGCTGTTAAACTGGCTGAATTTTAAAAAGTTTTAAAGTTAGATAACAGCATCCTTAAAGAGGGTTTACATAGCTCATAATTTCTCCAAAGAATTACATAAAGTAGCAGTCAGATCATTAAGCACTACAGGATTGTAAGATAAGTTGAATGCATGTCATGGTTTGGATTTTCAGTTTTAATATTTCCTGTTTTATTCTCGGTTTAGCCTGTTAAGATTTCGGTTTTCTGGTTGGGGTTTCATGATTTCTGTATTAGTTTGTTCATTCATTTGTTTTGTTTTGCATATGTTCCTTGTTCCATGTCTGTCCCGTGTCCTGTTTTGTACAGTAATTGGCTGTCTCTGTTCCCTGGCTCTCCAACCTGTGCTAGACTACCCTCTCTTCCTGATGTGTGTGTGTTGTCCTTAGCCAGTATTTAAGTCCTCAGTTCTTTTCAGCCTTTGTCATGTCCTTGTCATTGTTGAGTGTTCTGTCCATTTCCGCATTCTTGGGATTATTCTGTTGATCATCAGCTCTGTTTGGAGTTTTTGTTACTTTGTTAGTATACTACCTGTGTTTGGACGAGTAGTCCTGTGTATTTCTATTTTGTTTTTTGGAATAAATCACAAGAACTGCATCCTGCTAGTCTGAGTCTGCATCTGAATCCAACCTCCTTTGTTCTCCTGCCTCTGCAGTCAGCTTTCCTGACAATTTCTGAGGGAAGCTGGGAGTTAGTGAGGGGAAGAGAAGTAGGTGTTCTTCACCTTCAGCTCATCTGCGTCATAGAAGTCGACTCTGACAGCAGGAACCATCCAGGTATGGAATAGAGAGGACAGGATCTGCTGAGCAATGGAGTCTGTGATGAAATGGAAATGTAGTGGGTTCCGCCTGTGGGCACACACAAACACCCAGACATGAATAGGTTAAATAATAATATAATATAATAAGCAAAAAATAGGAAAACAGTGTGATGTAGGCTGGAACTATGTCTGGATTTAATGGAAAAGGAAAACAATTTTAAGAAACAAAATCAACCTAACCAATTTGTAGATACATTTGTTTTAGCTTTTTGACTAAATATGACATTGTACTATGTTCAGGCTAACCAGCCTAAATTTGAAATTACCATAAAACCAGCACAATTTGTCATTTTGTGTTAAACATTACTGAACATGCATAAATAGGCTACCTGGGATTCAACAATGGCCTAATAAATGGCTAACCAATCAGAAATGTTTACATCATAGTGATCGTACATCAGGGTTTATTCATTTTTTTATTTTTGCTAAGACATAAAAACAGTGTTAAACCCCGAACGTGAATGTTCCAAGTTTGTAAAAATACAACCATTTGGCCACCTTTATGAGATAAGATTAGACTGTTTATTAGTCACACTACTAAGGCCAGTGGAATTTGTTTTTGTGCCGTATGCTAAACTCTGCAGCACAATACATATAATACATACATGGACATCAGCACACACGCCACATAATACTGCAAAATAATTTTAGGGACACATCAGGTAATTGGAATGCATGCCAGAGGTGTGTGAGGAGGGGGCTGGATGGAACAGTTCAAAGTCCTTATTGCTGTGGGAAAAAAAGTTGTTCATGAAGCGTTAAAATAGGACAGTAAAGCAGCAGACAAACAAGGGAAAGTGAGGGAGGTGTATGATGTGGAATGGACATATTTTGTCCTCGTCAAACCAAAATTTAACGTATCCAAGGAACATGTACTGTTTGTGTATCCAAAGCCTGAGATATGTTATTCCTCCATTGTTGTCGGAAAAACTTTTAAAAACACATCAGTGAGCCACTTCGCTGCACTGGGTGATATGTTCCTTCATCTCCATGAACACACACACACATTGTATGTATTTTGATTCAATCCCACATACACCGTCCTGCTGCTCCGAATACTCACTAGAGCACCAAATGTGGATTAATCTGCGGCTGAAAACGGTCCCCAATGAATGCACAGTTCCTCCTGTTTGAGTAACGTTTGTTAATAACCACAGTGGCCAGCTGTACGTTTTCAGTAGGAATTCCGTATTGTATTTAATATTTAATCCGTATTTAATTCAGACATGATTTAATAATGGAGAACGTCACCCACTTTTGTTCAAATATAATATAAGGGTCTTGTAGAACAACATTTACATTCCTCTAAGTATAGTTATCAAAAAAGTACTTTTTTACTACATTATTGGCCAAAGTAATGAAAATGTTTAAATGATGTCCAGCCTTGACTTGACCCTTTAAGATACCAAGCATGATGGCCACAAAGACATATTCCAATCTACTCCTATTTCTTGCCATTGTTTTTGCTTTAATTTTCAGAACAAAATAACGTGTTCATGAAGAGTGTTATATGATTGAAAGCTCCAAAACAAGGGAGTAATTGGGGCTTGAGCAGAAATTCTTTGGTCAACTTCAAGTATAGAGTTTGGGGATGAGTGCATGCAGTCAGTCCTGAGGCTGGTAAAGCAGACACAGTGCAGTGAAGGAGATGATTCATCAGACAGGACAACCAAAGCTTCCTTCACAGAAGCCTGTATACACGGTTTCTTACATCAGCTCACACACATAGAAAAGGGGAATGTGCAAAATAGATATTCAGGACTTCCAAATCAGGTCAAGACATAGTGACACTGAGCTGAGGATGTGAGCACCCTGGGGTGTCTTGTGCTGAATGACTTTGGGAATGAATGTGTCAGCTGCACTTGCTCAATAAGTACTGGGGGCTGGAAGCTGTCATAATCAGAACTCTGGTTGCTTACAAGCTGGCAGCAGCAGCGCAAATAGAAAGGGTCTTCACAGCCTCTGGACAAACAGCAACAAGCCTTTCACTGGATGCTTGGGATTATTCTGATAAGGAAGCAAATATGTCAAGTACATCCTGATTATCAAAACTGGGCCCATGATAATTTAATCATCTAATCTACATAATGCAATATTGTTATCTAGTTCCAATTAAGACTTTTAGAGTGGACACAGATACAGATTGACTGTGCGCCCATCTGCTCAGAGAGGATTGAAGGATTGTCCTGAACCTGACCATTACTTGCACCATGTGTAGAGCAGGGATGCACCCATCCAACCATTTCTCTCCCAATACAGATTCCAGTGCTCAAAGTCAGGGTACTGGCTGTACAGCTGTCATGGGACTGTGTTGTTATAAAACATCCACCTCAGTCCATATCCTGACCTGAATGCCTAAAACATGTAACATGAACAGCTCCTTTTTGGGATCTACTAGTTTGAAATGTACATATGGTGTTGATCATTTGCAAATACCGTGTGTCATTTGAATGAGTTAACATTCACTCACTCATTCAGTCACTTCATACAGAGGGCCTGTGCTCATTAGGCATGCTTCAGTAATCCATCCATGCTTCACACCACAGTTAAGGGTCCTCATTACAAGCTTGCATTTCTGCACCTAACAATTTCAGCTATGCATGGCCCCATCGTTCTCATTAGAAACCAATGCCAACCTTCTATGGTAGTTGCTAAAAGGTTGTCAAGAAGACAAGAGTGTTGTTTCTGGGCTATTCTCTTTTTCTCGTGTTTTGCCAGAGATCCGTATCATAAAGCAACCACCACAAAGAAAGTGCCAAAATATCTAGTTTACGAAAAGGAAACACTGTAGCGAGTTTTGGTAGTGTTGGTTATGTCATTTAAGTTGCAGAATGACAATATTATCAGGAATGCACCAAGATTTTAGTCATCAAGCCACTTTCATATAATTTAACTGATAGCGGAAACACTAAATTACATAACTGCATTGACAAAAAAATGTGTTTTTTATGTGGATCAATCACATTTAGTGGATACCTGATGTGCCTAGGTCAGTTTCAATGCCAATACCAATCAAGTGGATTGCACTGGTGCATCCCTAGTGTATAGCAGTGGGTTGCTTTTTATTTTTTAAACCTATAGTAGGATCTTTTTAGTCACGGGCTGTTGTAACCAAGCATGTTTGGTGTGGTTGATATGATCTTAGATACAATTTTGTTTTCAATCTCACATTGTAGCGTGGAAGGGAAAAACAAAGCACTTGGATAATATCGATGTATTTCCCCAAACCACACACAAACAGCTCTTTCTGTAATGACTTATGTAGTGTGTTGCTGATCGCACAGATGATGTTTTGGCATCTTCTCTCATGACTTGTGAATTACGCAGCCCATACCTTGAGAAAAAAATAGGTTGTTTGTCATTTCAATCCGAAACAACCTATTTGAGCATTTTCTGGTTTTCTGGTTCATCATATATCACAACAAAATGTTGTCAGTCAGTGCCTTCCAAAATGATAAGCATTGTATATAACCACATAATCATTATAAATTCCTCAGCTATTAATTTATATCTGTTAAAGTTTAGGCAACTAAACTACAATACAAATACCTACTTGATTAAGGTTAGGAAAAGATTCTGGTCATGATTAAAAGGAACCAATGTTGACTGCTGGTAGGAACCGTCAGATGTTTTGTATGTCCAACCATCCACCCATAAAGAGGTTTTGCAGCATGTTACAACATCTACTACTTCCACTTTTCCACTTTTTCTTCTGACAGAGAGCAGTTATCATTTGTACAGCCACGAGAGGTCCATGATACAAACACATAGGTCATTTAAAGATTTTAAACAGATGACTGATGCTGTTGTTTTTCTGGTGAGGACAGTCTCGGATTATCCTGACAGAACATATACAGCTGCTGTTTGACAGATCAGAATGATACCCCCCACCCCCCACCCCCCTTTTAACTGAATACAACAGAAAGAGGCCCCCTTCCAGGTGGGACAGTATCAATCACACAGTGACAGCCATTCTACAGGGCTCTCCATCACTGAGGCAAGAGCTGAATGTGTGGCAAATATTTGATTTACAGTGTAGGCTAAACAACACACGGCTGCAGGAAATTAACTGACTGGTGTAGCACAGTAACTATGCCATATAAATTTAAATCCTGCTTCGAAAGGGAATTTATTAGCATATTCAATAATTCATCACAAATTAACAATATATGAAAGAAACACAGCTGGAGGGCTATTTGATAAAAGCTGCAGGTCAGTTTATCGCAGGGAAAGGCAGTGTTTGACAATCACTGTCCCATGTCCCATCCCATCCGTTCAGTCTCTCAGCAGAATGCCCCACACTATCAAATGGCAGTCCAACAGGCTGACCTCTCAGGCGTCTGTCCTCTCACATATTTGTCACTCAGCGGTAAAACAACAGTGAGTCAACATTTAAACATCCCTTCTGATTAAACAGGGCCGGCGGGGTTTAGCATATTAGCTACACTGCTGGTGACCGGTCCTCAACAAAAAAAGGCCATTTCTGTCCTAACCAGCACCCGTCATCTCGTGAATTAGGGTGGAATCGGTAAACTCTACCCTGCTCATGGCTGATTCATTAGGAAGGCGTCATATTTCGGGAACCTCATTTCAATGATGCTGAGGTCTAGTCTTTCATCTAACTCTCAAGTGCAAATGTCCTCATACCTTATCATCTATTTAACACTTAAATGAACCTTTTGAAACTCAGGCTGTGTGTGCTCCCCTCTCTTTACTTCCAGTCATACGGCTTAGTCACTCCATGCCTCATTTTCAGAATAACAGAAAAAAACTTAAATTGGCATGCTAAGTGGTAATATACATGTTATGGGACTTTTTTTAATGAAAAATAGAAGTTCTATACGATTTGTATTTGTTTCAATGTTTTTGCTGCATCTAAAGGCCTCAAAGTCGATTTGCCATTCTATATCTTTCTTCTGGCCAAAAATATACTGATAGTGGAAAGCTAATGTTAATGTTATAATTCCTATAATAAAAGTTTTTATTCTTATGTCCATTTGGGATGAAGAGAGAGAGGTTTCGTGTGTAGTTGACATTAGGATTAAGGTCAGAAAGCTGCTTTTATTTATCCAGGTAGGTTGGTAAAATAACCAAATTTGTCAAGCTCAGAAGCCAACAGATCTCTTATTATCCCTTTTTCTCTTCCTACTCTTTTTTTATTTAATCAGCAAAGAACAGCTTCTCATTTAACATTAATTCCAGAAATCACAAAAGGGAAACTTTTGGCTGTTCTCTTGTGAATGTGCTCTCTGCAAGCCAGTGTCTGTACTCAGACAGCACCGTTTCTATGCTTTTATAAGTAAGCTTTGGCTAACACCATCCTACAACTGCAGGAGGAGAAGTGTTTTTGGAGTTGAAGAGTGGTCTTCATCTCATCAACTTAATAATTCTGGATCAGGACCTGCTTAGTTAGAAAAATACACATCAAATACCATCCATCCATCGTCAGCCGCTTATCCTGCGTACAGGGTCGCGGGGAGCTGGAGCCAATCCCAGCTTATATCGGGCGAAAGGCGGGGTACACCCTGGACAGGTCGCCAGTCCATCGCAGGGCCGCACATAGACAAACAACCAGTCACACTCACATTCACATCAAATACATATTTAAATATTATAGATACACACTGAATCAACATTTGATATTTTCTGCTGATAATCTCATTTGTTGTAACTATTGCTAAAGCTAAGTAGGCTTCCATTACAACCTTTCAGCCAACAAATGCTGAATACAGGTCATTATGTTTTAGTTATTCATAAATTGAGTTACTTGCAAATGTTAATAATTAGACTGGATTGACAGATTTATGCCTAAATAAATAAACAAAATACAATACATATTGTCATATGTATTTCCTTTTTATGAATGCATTTACTGTCTTATCATTAAATATAATAATAAGTCACTAATGTATACACACACACACACACACACACACACACACCAACCGGGTTGGTGTAGGAACATTAAGAAGTAAAAAAATGCATAGCTGTACCTGTGGAAAAGGACAGATTTAACCAGTGTCACCACGTCTCGACTGGCGTTGTAACCTGCACATACGATGGCCACATGGATGGTCTGTGGAGATCGGGAGAAGAGAGAAGGATTATTAGGATAAGGAATCGATTAAAAGAAATATTGGTTAAAGAAGAAAGAAATTCATTCTGCACGTCATAAGGTAGAAAAAAACATTTGAATTTGCTGAGTAGAAATAAAAAGAAAAAAAAACGCACTTTCTCTTGAATTTTAGCAAAAAGTACAGTGGAACATTCCTGAACTTACTTCAAAGCATCAAGGGAATGCCGTGTGTATGAAAACCTGTGAAGTTTAACGTTTAAAGTTAAAGTTTAAAGTTATAATGCCAAAATATTTTAGTCCAAAATCCATTTCTGCCTAGATTGTTGCTCATTAACACAATGAGAAAACTGCTGAAAAATTCTCCCACAGGATATTCATTCAAAGTTTCATATATATTTCAGAGGTTTAAAAGAAAACTCAATTTGCTATTCGACTAATTCTTATTTTCATAGCTTTTTTCATAGCAATTATCTGAATCAACCAAAAGTGGAAATTACCATTATAATTGTTAATTGTAATTGTACAAAGGGCAGTTAGGACACCAACTCTGTTAAAGTAATTTGTTTAGAGCAGGAGATTTTGCAGTCTGTCAGAATCAAGAGACCTGCGATTATTTTGATATATCAGAAATAATAAATAAGGATAATATAATAGGATTCAGGGCATCTGCTGTCAGGGCCCTACACTTTGGAACAGTCTGTGAGAGGAGATCAGGCTTGCAGAGTTTCATCTCACTTCAGACACAAAAGCTATTACTGTGTGATGTGTAATTTATTTTTTCTATTATCCGTATATTGACTTGTTTATGTTTTATGTATTGATTATAAACCATTGCATGATGCGTAATTTATTGTACCTTCATTTTTTTATAGACTTGTTTTTGTTTTATATATTCCTTGTACACCACTGTGTGTGATGCAGATTTTTTTTTGACTTGTCTGTGTTTTTACATTGATTGCTATGAAGCACTGTGTTACCTGTATTATTACAAATCTTTTTCAGACTTGACCAAGTTCCTTCAGAACTGCTAATATTCAACTGCTTTCCCAGAATGCGTTGTACCTCTCATAAATTAACTGTGACATGTTAAGTACGTAAAGGCCTTTGCATACCGAACCAACAAATATATCATACAAATATGTTTATATGTATCCAACGAAGGTTAAAATGAAGGGCAACTGGACTTGGTTGAAGCTACTGGAAGACGTTTCGTCCCTTATCCAAAGGACTTCTTCAGTTCTGACTGACTGGCAGGGAAACTCAGCTATTTAACCTCAGTGGGGTCGTTATCTCGGGTCATCGATACCGCTGGTTCGTTAGTGTTCCTTGTTGCTGTGACGACAGTCGTTACAGTCGTTGAGACTACCTGTGGCCAAGACTGAACGACCATCGTTGGTATCTTCACCTGAGGCCAAGACTGAACGACCCTCGTTGGTATCTTCACCTGAGGCCAATAGGTTACGTTTGTTGAGTTTCCTGGGCAGTGATGAAAGGACAGCATTGTAAGTGGGGGATAAGTGGTGGCGTAGACCCCCTCCTCTGTTCAATGACGGCTTCTCCACCCTGGTGTAGATGCTTCCTTGACACCTCTTTCAAACCATCCATCCTCTCTGTCTAAAATGTGCACCTGGTGGTCCTCAAACGAGTGTCCTCTGTCCTTCAGATGTAAGTAGACTGCAGAGTCTTGACCTGAGGAGTTGGCCCTTCTGTGTTGAGCCATGCGTTTGTGTCGTGGTTGTTTAGTCTCCCCAATATACAGGTCTGTGCATTCCTCACTGCATTGGACCGCATACACTAGATTGCTTTTCTTGTGTTTGGGTGTGCGGTCTTTGGGGTGGACCAGCATCTGTCTTAGTGTGTTCTTGGGTGTTCTTGTGAAGACAGCCACAAAATCCAAGAAGAACAAAACTACAGGGGAGGAAAAGAAGGTCAAACGCAACAACATTGTGATTCCATATGTGTCTGGAGTATCAGAGAAACTCAGGAGGATTTTTAACAAACACAACATCCCTGTGTTTTTTAAACCCAAGAACACACTAAGACAGATACTGGTCCACCCCAAAGACCGCACACCCAAACACAAGAAAAGCAATCTAGTGTATGCGGTCCAATGCAGTGAGGAATGCACAGACCTGTATATTGGGGAGACTAAACAACCACGACACAAACGCATGGCTCAACACAGAAGAGCCAACTCCTCAGGTCAAGACTCTGCAGTCTACTTACATCTGAAGGACAGAGGACACTCGTTTGAGGACCACCAGGTGCACATTTTAGACAGAGAGGATGGATGGTTTGAAAGAGGTGTCAAGGAAGCCATCTACACCAGGGTTGAGAAGCCGTCATTGAACAGAGGAGGGGGTCTACGCCACCACTTATCCCCCACTTACAATGCTGTCCTTTCATCACTTCCCAGGAAACTCAACAAACGTAACCTATTGGCCTCAGGTGAAGATACCAACGATGGTCGTTCAGTCTTGGCCACAGGTAGTCTCGACGACTGTAACGACTGTCGTCACAGCAACAAGGAACACTAACGAACCAGCGGTATCGATGACCCGAGATAACGACCCCACTGAGGTTAAATAGCTGAGTTTCCCTGCCAGTCAGTCAGAACTGAAGAAGTCCTTTGGATAAGGGACGAAACGTCTTCCAGTAGCTTCAACCAAGTCCAGTTGCCCTTCATTTTAACCTTCGTTGGATAACTATGACCTGGATGACTGAGAATCTTCATAGATATGTTTTATGTTTTTTTTTAATCAGTCATCAAAAAAGTCCGGTGTGTTAAATTATTTTAATTCATTGTGAAAATTCACGATACCAGACACAGTGGAGTCGTCAAGCAGTGAGGATGATTTTGTGGACGCCTTATCTTGTGTGGCCCATGCTGTGTTTAGCAGAGTCACTTTGCACCCAGCAATGAAGTTTGTGTGTAAGATGTTATCACAGCCATCAGGAATGATGGTCAAAATTACAAAATAACGAGGTTATAAGATTTTTGGTGGGCCCGTCACTTTATAGTTTCAGTTTTATTAAAATATTAAAATCTCTAGAACAGTGTCCCCTGACCGTTTGCCACCAAATTCCAGATAGGACAAGTGCTGAATTTTTAATAATGTTCATCTGAGTCACCTTCAATATTGCGTTCTCACGGCAATAAAGATTTTCAAGTAGCAGCAAGTCCACATTTATTTGCCCAGGAGTAGGTTGTCCTATCACAGTTTTAGGTCACAAGCATGACGGTATACATAAAATAGAAATAAAGTACAGACAACAAAACCTCCCCTCAGCATTCAGCCATCCTTCCTTGGCCTAGGGAGAGCCAGGTCAGGTGGTCCACAGGCAAAAGGTTGAATGTTACCTTATGCCACTCTGAGATTGTTGGAGGCTTATTTCAAATCCATTTTAATAATATACTCTTCTGTGCAGCATCGGTTAACACATTCAACAATTTTCGCTTATAGGTCCCCTGGATCTGTGGGTGTGTCAAACTTTTTTTGATATAACAGAAAATTATCTTTTTATGACAGTGTGAACAGGCCAAGTCACATGGAATCTGATCTTTTCACATGCAGCATGCCTTTCATATGTGTTCCAAATTTGTTACAGAGCGATCTGGAGACTCAGTTTAAAATTGATGCGACTTTGACATCACTCTAGAGCAGCTGTTGTCACAGCTCTGCTGTAGCCGCGGTGAACAAAAAAGGCTCCTCAAAAAGCCAGTATTAAACATGTGTCTCTCCTTGCTACCTTGCTATCATCTGCCCACAAATTACCTTTCTTCCACCGGACCGCGAGCTCTCTTCTGAGTTACGTACATGCTACTTGTCAGAGCGGAGGCAGTAGAGCAACAGAGAGAGACAGAAAGAGAGTTGTTTGTTGATTGTTCTTGTAGTTTTCTTGTAGTTTGTATGATGCTTTGGCAATATTGTTGTTATACATTCAGCCAATTGAATTGAGAGAGAGAGGGATTGTAACTTTAGTGTGGTGTGTGGGCAGATGCGTTGTACAGCGCCAGAAACCGTAATGAAAAGAACAGAAAGGTGTGAACATTTGTCATAATTCGTGAGAAATGTGACCCGTGAGAGGACAATGAAATACAGCAATCCCCGGGAAAATTGGGAGGGTTAGCAAGTAGGAGCTAACCAGATCTAATCTCTGTGGCTCCTTGTTTACCTCTGGACAACAGCAAGGAGCTTGTGTTATTCTTCTGCGCATGCAGGTCACTCTGATATGGACCACATTTAAACTATAATGTGAACTGTCAAAAAAAAAAAAAAAACCATGTGGGGAAAATTGAGCATTAAGGCCTGCAGTCTGAATGTAGCCTTAGTGAATTTGATTTGTATAAGGGCTCTGTAAATAAAGATTATGTGTGATTATAGCATTGACAATAGAGCCATTTTAATTGCATTTGTTGTGTATAAATAAAAGCATAATAACCAATTTTGTCATAATTTATAATTTGCTAGATAATACAAATGTATATAAATGAACATCTCTCTCTCTCTCTGAGTGCATGCTGGGAGTGGAGGACAGTGAGAGTGGGTGCGCGTTTCAGCGTGATTTGTTTTGTTTGTTTGTGGTTAGTAGTGCTTTTTGTATAATTTGTAGCGGGTGGGTTCCTGAGCGGTGACGACCGGTTTCACCTGGGTCATGCCGACTCACGGAGTTGGGAATGTGGGGCTGGAGAAGCTCACGCGCCGACACGGAGTTAAACTTTGTCCAGCTGTTAATTTCTCCTTGGAGGATTGCAGCCTAGCAATTGGAGAAATTGTCGACTATGAAAGTGTGAAGTCTGCTTCCAGAATGAACAATGGAGTTGTCATCTTTCTGGATAGTGTTGATAAAGTCAGCGTGGTTGTCGAGCAAGGTGTGGTGATTCAGGACAGGTGGTGCCACTTGTTAATTCGGCCAAAAAGATTATTTTGTCTAAAGTTCATACGTTTATTAGTAACGAATTGTTACAAAGAGAACCGGTGAGGCATGGGCAACTAATA